CCGTCCCAGCACTTGCCCTAACAGTGAGATTAGAGCAGCTGAAGTGGCAGAATCCAAAACTTTAGACAAAGATACCTCAGGAATTTTGGTTTCCTGGGGTCACAAGCGTGATGCTGCAGTGATTGGGCTACTCCATATTTTATCACTCTCCTAATCTTAGTGTGGGTCTTTGTAATTTTTTTTTTAAGTAATGTGTAATGGGCTTTTGTCTACTTTTTCTCTCTTTTATGACAGGCTACTCCTTAATACTACTTCTGTAATGACCAGCTGTAATCCCTTTGAGGCTCGACGGGCTTTTCTTGAAAACATTTTGCTTGTATTTTGCTGTGGTGGATTCACTGTATATTTTCTTAACAAATCGACATTATATTTCTTTTTAAACAGCAAGTTGCAGATTTAATAGGAGCTGATTCACGGGAAATTATATTTACCAGTGGTGCAACAGAATCTAATAATATGGCAATTAAGGTAAAAGGTTTATACTGATAGTTATTTATGATGTTGAAATTATGCTCTTAAGAACTGTATGCATCTTTGAACAGTTTAAATGTTAATATGTTGGAGTAGGTAGCAAATATTTGCATTCCTGGATTTACTCCTTGTGATCCTCTGCTACAACTTGGAGGAAATACATGGAATGTTTTAGTGCACAGGATGTGTTTTTGAGTGTAAAATATTCAGTGTTTATCTTACGTGCACCAAATACAACATTTCTCCTTATGTAATTAAAATCTTTATTGTGAAATACAGTGGACATGCTGATTAGGAACTTTTTTCTGATGAAGACTGGGTTGTGTTTTAACCCTTAGTATGTGGTTGTTCAGACTTGTCAGTGTGTGTGACTCCACATAGAATGTTTTTTAAAAAGTATTTTGATTAATGACATCTGTAACTTCTGTCAGTTAACATTGTCACAGGTTTTTTGAGAAACGAGTTGCTTTGAAAAATGAGTGCTGGTGGAGACACATAGTGTGGATTATGTGTCAGTACCTTTTACATTCATGACTTTGGGTCAGACAGGAAAGATTGAAATGAATGATATCAAAGTATTGATTTCTTGTTTCCAGTCATGGCTTTCTTCAGTGGTCTAATGGCCAATTTCTTGTTCACGGATTGTGCCTGACAGGGTGTTGCAAGGTTCTATAAATCCAGGAAAAAGCACATAATTACTACACAAACAGAGCACAAGTGTGTGTTGGATTCCTGTCGTTCCTTGGAGACAGAAGGTTTTCGGATCACGTATCTACCTGTTAAAAACAATGGGCTCATAGATTTGAAGGTAAGTTGTTACTGACAGACAGAAACTGAAAATAGAAGTTGTTTTCCCTTCAAATTGATGCTCAAGAGGACCTTGTGTCCTTTGTGACCTGTTAGTCACAACTTCTGTCCCTCTGAATCTTTCACCAGGAGCTGGAGGCTGCATTCCAGCCAGACACAAGTTTGGTTTCTGTAATGACTGTGAATAATGAAATAGGAGTAAAGCAGCCAATTCACGACATTGGTAAGTACTGTGTAGCTTTCAGATGCCAGCTGAAGTTGCTTCTGCTTCATTTTAGTTGATAATTTCGTCCCCAAGTGGTACTGATGCAAAAGATTAGGTGTAATACACTTAAGGAATAAATAATAATTTAAGTATTTAAAAAGAAAAATATAATGTAAATAAATAAATCTGCTGTCCCAAATAAAAACTGATTTTAAAAGGGAAATGAGAATGAAATTCACTGCTTTTACAGTGAGCACTACAGCAATTATAGCCTTGAACAGATCAACTGCAGTGTTTCTGGTTTCATTCTGAAATGTATGATGGATGAAAAAGTTGCACAGAATAACTGGCCAGATTAAGTCTGTGTACTATAACAGTTTACTGAGCACTTGTAGTGTTTAAGAGAAGAAATGTGTAGGATTTCAGGTGGGAGAGGGTGGTGATCCCCACCCTCCCCCCGTATTGCCATACACAGTCATGAACCGTTGGTTTGGAGGCCAAAAGGCTGCTGAAGAGCCAGGTTTCTGGAACAGGAGGCAGGGAGAGGGTGAACCAGGCTCTGAGCAGGCAGATGGAGTGACAGGGACCTCGGAGCAGTTGAAGGGAGACCCTGGAGAACCAGGGTCGTTGGAGCAGGGAGGGTGAACAGGTGCCTGCCCAGCCTGGATGCCACGGTGAGTTGGTGATGAGGTTTCCCCATGACAGTGACAAAACATACACACCCCCTTCTGTCCTGGTTTAACTCCAGGCAGCCCCCAAGCCCCAGCAGCTGCTCACTCATTCCAGATAGGATTAGAAGGGTAAAGGCCAGAGAACTCATGGGTTGAGATAAGGACAGTGTAATAGGGAAAGCAAAAGCCATCACACAAGCAAAGCAAAACAGAGAATTAATTCCCTGCTTCCCACAGTTGGG